GGCATGAACCACCTTTGGCTTACCTCGCTGACCACATTTTATCCGGAAAGTCACGTCTGAGAGACGATCCACTATGTCATATGGGCTTTCCCATGGAAAAGACAACTTAGGAGACTTCCCTTTGGTTTTCCTGGGATTATACAACCACACCTTGTCTCCTGGTACAAATCTGACTTCAGTAGATCTCTTATCATAAGTTAAATTCATCGAATCAGCAGACGTTTTCAACTTTGAATGCACTTGATGGTGAATATCATCCATCCTTTCCAATAACACTTTCACAAACTCTAACACATTCATAGGCAGCTCTTCATAAAGTGGGCGTCCCTTATGCTTGGGTCCTCTTTTAGCACTACATGTACTGCATATCCTGCACCATTTTTCCATATCTTGCCTCATACCTATCCAGTAAAATCTTTGTCGTAGGTGACTCAATGTCTTCTTAATTCCGAGATGTACTCCTGTCAAATTATTATGAGATTGACGCAGCACAACTTCTCGTAACTTCCTCGGTATAACTGTTTGACAAGTCGTCACTTTCCCGTCTGTAGTTTCCCATCTCCGAACAAGAATACCATTTTCAAGCTTCAACTGGTCCCATTGTGCCCAATAGTGCTTTGTCACGGGGCTTAGACTAGACACCTTCTCCCAAGCAGGGCGCACAACACTTGATTTTAGAAAATCAATCATTGGCTTCAAATCTTGGTCTTTCTCCTGTTCTAACTTGATATCTATATTTGGTTCCACTTCACCATCATCAACTCTTTCAGTCGGCTTGACTTCAGCTTGGTGGCACCTAATTAGTTCAACCTCTCTTTTAACAGTTACCGGAACTTGGCCTTTGTTGTTCCCAAAAGTCATTTTATCAAAATCAATTACAAACTTCCTTGGTAGTAGATAGTCCAATCCTAATATGCATTCGTCTTCAATGTCAGCCAACTATACTTTCTCTCTGTCTTTTATGCCCATGAGCTCAATAGTTACCCACACTGGTCCCCACAATCTTGTAGAATGTCCTGTCACACAATAAAGCTTCTGTATGGCTTCTGGTACTCCTTCATGATCTAACACCTTGATGCTCACAAGGGTTTGCTGAGATGCAGAGTCTACGACAAAGTTGCACCTTTGGCCATCTTGCTTTCCTGTCACATAGACACTGTGTGTGCTTGGCATTTTACACCTAGCTGTTGGGACTTTCATGATGGGGGTTGGTGGGCATTGCTCAACACCAACCACTACTGGTCTCCTTGAGGCTGACTTGTTGGTAATATTCTTCCTACACTGGCTCCTCAAATGTCTGCGCTTTCCACAGTTCCAACAACCTTTCTGGATACCAGCCTTTCCTGCTGTGTCATCTCCCCTGTGCTGAAGTTTCCAGCATTGAGCTCTCTTGTGCCCAGGTTTATTACAGTGCCAGCAAAGTCCCTCAAACCTCTCTGAAAGCTGACCTTTTCTGGCCTTGAATCCAGATGATTGTACCAACCTCGGTACCTCTGTGCTGGACTTAACGTAGAATTCCAATTCAAGAGCTCTGGCCATTGCATCCTGCATGGTAGAGGGGTGTGCTTGCTTCACTTGTATCTTAAGTTGTGGACGTTGCAGGCGTTGTTGTAAGTCTT